CTGCACCCATTGCTGACACAGGATCTCAGTTGTGCACACACAGCTTGTATAATCTCCATTGAAAAGTACTGTCAATAGAATGAGATGCCCAGTGGCAAGCACCAGCTAGAGGGGTATAAAGCCCCCCAGCTTTGGGCTGTGGAGAAGTGGAACTGTGTTCTCTGGAGTGATGGAGCTCCATCCAATACTTTTGCGATGAGTTGGAGTGGAGTTTTTGATCCAGAACTAATCATCCAATATCAGGACCTGACTTCACAAATGCTCTTGTAGTTAAAAGCAAACAAAAGAAAGATTTTAGTTAGTCCATAGTGAAACAGCCTACTTCTGCTCCGCTGACATTAGTTTCTTAATATCTTCACCAAAAATGTAGTGTTCACATTTCGCTCCTCTTTTATCATTTAATCAATGCAAGCAAAATTTTAGCCAGCATACTCCTACCAATAAACCAGCCCTGTCTCCCTATCCCCATACTCCTACCAATAAACCAGCCCTGTCTCCCTATCCCCATACTCCTACCAATAAACCAGCCCTGTCTCCCTATCCCCATACTCCTACCAATAAACCAGCCCTGTCTCCCTATCCCCATACTCCTACCAATAAACCGGCCCTGTCTCCCTATCCCCACCCCTACCATAAACTGCCCTGTCTCCCTATCCCCATACTCCTCAAAAACCGGCCCTGTCTCCCTATCCCCATACTCCTACCAATAAACCAGCCCTGTCTCCCTATCCCCATACTCCTACCAATAAACCGGCCCTGTCTCCCTATCCCCATACTCCTACCAATAAACCGGCCCTGTGTCCCTATCCCCATACTCCTACCAATAAACCAGCCCTGTCTCCCTATCCCCATACCCCTACCAATAAACCGGCCCTGTCTCCCTATCCCCATACTCCTACCAATAAACCGGCCCTGTCTCCCTATCCCCATACTCCTACCAATAAACCGGCCCTGTCTCCCTATCCCCATACTCCTACCAATAAACCGGCCCTGTCTCCCTATCCCCATACTCCTACCAATAAACCGGCCCTGTGTCCCTATCCCCATACTCCTACCAATAAACCAGCCCTGTCTCCCTATCCCCATACCCCTACCAATAAACCGGCCCTGTCTCCCTATCCCCATACTCCTACCAATAAACCGGCCCTGTCTCCCTATCCCCATACTCCTACCAATAAACCGGCCCTGTGTCCCTATCCCCATACTCCTACCAATAAACCAGCCCTGTCTCCCTATCCCCATACTCCTACCAATAAACCGGCCCTGTGTCCCTATCCCCATACTCCTACCATAACCGGCCCTGTGTCCCTATCCCCATACTCCTACCAATAAACCGGCCCTGTCTCCCTATCCCCATACCCCTACCAATAAACCGGCCCTGTGTCCCTATCCCCATACTCCTACCAATAACCGGCCCTGTCTCCTATCCCCATACTCCTACCAATAAACCGGCCCTGTCTCCCTATCCCCATACTCCTACCAATAAACCGGCCCTGTCTCCCTATCCCCATACTCCTACCAATAAACCGGCCCTGTCTCCCTATCCCCATACTCCTACCAATAAACCGGCCCTGTCTCCCTATCCCCATACCCCTACCAATGAGCCAGCCCTGTGTCCCTATCCCCATACTCCTACCAATGAGCCAGCCCTGTCTCCCTATCCCCATACTCCTACCAATAAACCAGCCCTGTCTCCCTATCCCCATACTCCTACCAATAAACCAGCCCTGTCTCCCTATCCCCATACTCCTACCAATAAACCAGCCCTGTCTCCCTATCCCCATACTCCTACCAATAAACCGGCCCTGTGTCCCTATCCCCATACTCCTACCAATAAACCAGCCCTGTCTCCCTATCCCCATACCCCTACCAATGAGCCAGCCCTGTCTCCCTATCCCCATACCCCTACCAATGAGCCAGCCCTGTCTCCCTATCCCCATACTCCTACCAATAAACCAGCCCTGTCTCCCTATCCCCATACTCCTACCAATAAACCAGCCCTGTCTCCCTATCCCCATACTCCTACCAATAAACCAGCCCTGTCTCCTGATCCCCATACCCCTACAAATGAACTAACCCTGTCTTCCCATCCCCATCCCTGTACCACTGAACTAGTCCTGTCTCCCCATCCCTATACCCCTTACAAATGAGCCAGCCCTGTCTCCCAAATGTAGAAAGAGGTGAGCAGCATTGTGTTGAATGACATGTCAGTTGGCATAAATGCAGGGGATCTGTGGGAGTTTCTTTTTTATTTATTTTATTTATTTTAAGTTCATTAATGTTAAGAGAATTTTCCATTTAAGGATTTTACCATAAAAAATTCAATTTAAACTGTAAAAATGGCCTTTAGCACATTTCTTATAGAGGGTATCAGTCTTGCATTAAATATTGAATTCCACTGTATGCAGAATGCTGCATGCATGTCTGCACAGTGTTATATTTCCAGGATTGGCATGGCCTGTGTTGGTGGGGCCCAATGTGGTATCTTTTCACGGGGCCCAAAATCCCTGGTGGTGCCTGTGGCTCTAACACACCAACTAAATCTGACAGTTAATTAATGATCAGAATCAGGTGTGTGAGAAGAAAAATTGCCACACTTTGCAAGAATCCGATCCTCCAGGACCAGAACTCCCACCCCTGATTCATGATCATTCTGATAGCACATGAAGGTGGCATATGTCATGATGTACAGTGCTAATTCGTGGGGTATAAGCTGTCATTACTAGCCTCTTAACTCCAGTGCAAAATTTCGAAGCAAACTTCAGACAGCAGATTTGGTTGCTAACTAAGGTGTGAACCTTTCTGCTAAAATGTTTCTTCCCTGAGTCAAAGTGAATGGGCTGAAACAACTCAAAAATGTCTGAAACAGGCAGATCGACTGTGACAGTGTGTGCTGTATAGGCACAGGCTGGAGCACAGAATCCCTCTGTCCTTCTACAGAAAAGTGATGACTCTAAATGCTGTCTCTTTCCCATCAGCGACGGATGTTGTTTCAGCATGTTCAGAGACATGACGGAGGTGACAGACGGCGTCCTCCAGCTGCTAACCACAGCGGGTTTGAATCACAATGTCTGGGCTGACCAAATCTCGAAATATCCAGCTGATACGAGTGCAGCAATAATGGCTGGAGCAGAAAATTCAGTTTTGATCAAAAGTTTTACTCATTTTGGAATAAACATGAATAAAGCTATCAAATAACACATATAATATTATACAGCAAATGCAAGTCGATTGCATTATCACCGTAACACACAGACGATCAGGAACATCATCATTATTGTTGTAGTGTTTTTTTTTATTTATTTATTTTTTTTTGAACAGCAGTCTTTGTTGCTTGATTACTATGAGTATGTTTGTCATTAGTGCCCTGTTTTGTTATCTGTAGTTGTTTTTGTTCGGCCAAGGATCATTACATTTTTTCTTCCTCTACCCACATTCCATTGCAGAAGTATTGAAAAGGGACTGGAGAATCTGCAAGGATTCCTCATCCTAGACTGAAGGACTTAGTCCCAAATCAAAGCAGCTTAATCTCAAATAAAGTAGCTAGGCCCCAAATTGAAGCCACATGTTTTCAAACTGAAGCAACTTGCTCTCAATTTGAAGCAGCTCGGTTTAAAAGTAAGGCTTGGTCCCGAATCATAATGACTTTGTCCTAAATTGGGGTGACTTGGTCCTAAGTTGAAGTGACCTGGTCCCAGATTACAGCAGTTTGGTTCCAAATTAAAGCAGCTTGATACAAATGTACAGGAGCTTGTTCAAAAGTAATGTGGCTTGATCCCAAATGATAGTGGCTTGGTCCCAAATTACCACAGTTTGAAACAGTTTGGTTTAAAATAAAGGCGGCTTGGTCCTGAATCATAGTGGCTTGGTCCTAAATTGAGGTGATTTGGTTCTATATTGAAGTGACTTGGTCCCAAGTTACAGCAGTTTGGTTCCAAATTAAAGCTGTTTGATCCCAATTTACAGGAGCTTGTTCAAAATTAACGTCTTGATCCCAAATCATGGTGGCTTGGTCCCAAATTAAAGGCAAGGCAAGGCAAGTTTATTTATGTAGCACATTTCATACACTGCTGTCATTCCAAGTGTTGTGCAAATGAGAAAATACAGAGTCATTGAAAAATGCAAAACATGATTAAAACATAATTAAAGCTATAGATTTAAAAGAGAAAATCATTAAATTAAAAATTAGGATAATTCAAAATCAAATTAAAGCTCCCGAGTGGCGCAACCGTCTAAGCGTTGGCCCTGTCATCAGGAGATCGCGAGTTCGATCCCTGGTGATGCTACAGCCATCCGTAGCCGGGAGTCCAAGAGAGCACAATTGGCCTCGCTCTCTGGGTGTGTAGGATGGCCCCCCCCTTCTCCCCCATCACTCAGCACAATGCTAGTCAGCGCAGGCGTCTGTTAGCTGACGTAACAGATCTGGCGGTTGGCGCTTTCCTCCGAGCGCGTTCAGCTGTCCAGTGACGTTGCGTTGCGGCAGTTCGAAAAGAAGCGGTGGTTGGTTTCACAGGTCTCGGAGGAAGCCTGTGTTAGCCTTCACCCTCCTAGCGTTGATAGCATCGTGTGATTGGGGGAGTCCTAACTAGCAGGCGGGAATTGTAGACGACTAAATTGGGGAGAAAATCGGGTAAAAAAAAAAAAGAGAAGTTCAAGATGTAATAAAGGATAATAGAGTGCCGTTACAGAGGAGAACAGCTGCTCAAATAGGAAAGTTTTAAGCCTGCATTTAAAAGTGTCTAGTGCGGCTTAACACTGAACTTGATCCCTTGAAGTGGTCCTAAATTATTATGGCTTGGTTCCAGGTTGAAGTGGCTAAGTCCCAGATTTAAGTCACTTGGTTTCAAATTGGAGCAGCTTGGTTTAAGGTTGAGGCAGTTTGATCCAAAATTGAAACAGCTTGGTGCATAATTTAAACAGCTTGTTCCAGATGGTATACGCATCTGGAAACTGAGGATTGGCTGGTATCTGATGACATTATTTTCTGTCTTCTCCACCAGGTGAGGACCCCGAGACAAGACGAATGCGGACGGTAAAGAACATTGCTGACCTCAGACAGAACCTGGAAGAAACCATGTCCAGTTTACGTGGGACACAGATCAGCCATAGGTGAGCTACTAGGCCTGATTCAACCCTTTATAACAGATACAGTGGACATTTGCATTAGAAAGTAAACAAATAGATAAATAACAGTAATTATGTTCCCATATACAGTTTTCTTAATTACCTTTCCTAGAGTTTTTTTTTTCCTTAAAATCAGAATCAGAATCTCAAGAGATTTCCCTGCTTAATTAAACAATAAGTTAATATTATTTTCTAACAAAATAATAATACAGTGCTTGACGGACTGATGGTTTATGTGCATAATTCCCAGTCCTAAAACCCCATGCACTACAATATTTTTATACTTATTTGTATTTATCACACACACCTGATTAATAATGAACAATTCACTTAATCAATAATTAATAATTAGCTCATCTGCTAAATATTTCTAACTGTGAGACTGGATCTAATCTGATAGCTACTGGTTTATGTGAAGCGTAGTGTTCATTGATGGGAGGCTTGTTTGCAGTATTTATGTTGAGGAGAAAGGGAGGAGCTTGAGAGCACAAGAGGAGAAGTTGAAGAGGCTTGGCCCCAAATTTAGGCAGCTTGATCCCAAGTAAAAGTTGAAGAGACTTGGTCTCATAATGAAGTGGCTTGGTCATAAATCAAAGTTAAATAAGTAGTTTTGAGGGTGAGGAACTAGTGTGGCCCTACATACAGACCCTTAGAGATTAAAGGGTTAATCCCTTTTGGGTTCCTCTGTGTTCATTGTTGCTATGTATTTGAGCATGTTTCTTTGATAGCTGTAGTGCAAAATGATACCGAAATCAGTGACAGCTGGGCTTTATCGTCATCGTCTGCTATGCCAGGTTAAAGTGTTTGAAGCTTAAGCTCAGTCTGGCACTCAGAATCAGAAACCACATCAGATCACAACCACAGCTAGTCTGTGCCAGCTAATAATAAAGGCTCAGCTTAGCTTAGCCAATTTTTTTTTTTTGGAAGATGCTAAAACTTCAGTCCAATCATCGAAAGGAACGAGTCTCTAAGTTTTCCACTGACATAAACACAGGTTCTTGGCCTAATTCACTACTCCTTTCTTCATATCTCCCACTGTGTAAGTGCAATTTCAGAGGAAAATGGCTCAGACAGAGTGTTTTGACATGACAGATGGTCCCGCCTTCTCTCGCTCTCTCTCTCTCTCTCTCTCTCTCCCTCTCTCCCTTTCTCTCTCTCTCTCTCTGGAAATCGATGCATGGCCTTCTTGGTTTTCCGCCCCATTGACTCCCAGGATGCCTCAGGGCTGAGACTAGCCCTTTCCCTCCATCACTGTTTCAGTTATTAAGAGCCGATGAACCCACAGGTTCTGCTTTAGAAGAGCAGTAACATTAACTTCATACTGGTCAAAAAGACTGAGCAGAAATACAGACTGGAAATTAAAGACGGGAGCTCGGCTGGAGGAGGTACAGTTTGAAGAATTAAAGTAACTTGTAGCAAAGGCAATGTGGAATTAGCACAAAGTAGAATAAGTGCAATGTAGAATTAGCGCAATGTAAAATTAAAAATGTAGAATTCAAATCCAGTATAGAATTAAAGTCCCTCAGCACAAATTAGAGTTAACACAATGTGGATTTAGCACAATGTAAAATTAAAAAAATTTAGAATTCAAGTCCAGTACAGAATTTACGTCCCTCAGCACAAAGTAGAGTTAACCCAATATAGTATTAGCACAAAATAGAATTAGTGCAAAGTAGAATTAGCGCAATGTAAAATTAAGCACAATGTAGAATTATTGCAATGTAAATTAAAAAATTAGAATTCAAGTCCCAATGTAGTATTAGTGCAAAGTACAATTGGCACTAGAGGTGGGAATCTCTAGGTACCTCACGATTCGATTCGATTACGATTCAGAGGGCTGCGATGCGATTATAAAACGAATATCGATGCATCTTTTTTTTCTACACAGCGTTTCTATTTTCTCACTGTCTGAGGACTAGTTTTAAACCAAAGTATTTTTAATGATCCATAATGAATTTACTTCCAATATCTCTTATTAATAAATCAAATGGAAGTGAACTAGAAGGCTCTCATTCAGTGCTCTTGTTTAGAGCACATGAGACGCTGCTGCCCCTCATCTGCGATAAAATGCGCAGCTATGGTGAAATAAGATCCAGTGGTAATGGATTACCGCGCAGCGCGTTACAGCCGTCCTACCTGTTTAATTAATTGATTTTATAACTTAATTTGTGGTCTGGTTGTAGAGGGGGTCACTGTGTCAGTAAAATATCTTCGAGACAGGACGTGTGCAACATAGCACGAAAGCCCTGTTTCAGCGGTTATTTGCATTTATAAGCAGCGCAGTCGTTTTCCTGGTCCGTTAAATCTGCAACGACAGACTGTCAAACACTAAAAAGTTGCGAAGATGAAGTCGCTTCTCTTTTGAATTTTCCTGTTCCACCTTAAATGGTGCTGCATTTAGGTTACATTCGGCGCCTCAGGCAGAATTTAAGGTGGAACGGGAAAATTCGAACGAGAAGCTGGAAAATGAGAAGCGACTTCAGCCTCGTAAAACAGTCGAACGATGAGAGACATTCCAAAAGAAACTGTTGAACTTTTGAGGAAAAATTTCCTGACTGAAAGGGGAGGAAAGCAGCTATAGCTGAAGCTTAAAGCAGAGTAAAGTAAATCTGCGCTCTCACTTAGATTGTTTAGTCTATACTAGGACATTAACACATACTGAGACATATTGGACATTAAATGTTGTGGCTCCCAAGGTGGTTTGATTTTTGTTGAAAGGACAAAATGGCTCTTCTTATCATTTGGGTTGTGACTCCTGACCTAACCTGGCTTTTTAATGCAGAGGGAGTCAGTCGGATTTCTCACTCATCCAGTTGTGTTTTTGTTATTTGCGTTCCGCCAACATTACGTTATAAATTAAATATTTAGAAAATCGATTTTTGACATTTGTGAATCGATTCAGAATCGTTCACGTCCGCATCGCGATGCATCTAAGAATCGATTTTTTCCCGCACCACTAATTGGCACAATGTAAAATTAGGTGCAATGTAGAATTAATATAGAAGTCTCTTGGCACAAAATGGAATTAGCACAAAGTAGAGTTAGCAATGTAGAATTTGCACAGAGTTAACGCAATGTAGAATTAGCAGAAAGTAGAATTAACACAAAGTAGATTTAACACTGTAGAATTAGCATAAAGTAGAATTTGTTCAATGGAGAACTAATGCAGCATTTAGCAATTAGCAGAATGAGGAATTTATGAAGTGCAGACTATAATGGGGTGTAAATCTCGGACCTCAAATCTATTTGATGGGGATACTTTAGGAAGCTAATTGATGTATCATATGTATATATGTATATAACTGTATATATACATACATATCATCACTGTCGGAACAAAACCTTGTACCTCCAAAATGGTAACTTTACAAGAGAATGCAAAAATATTCTTAACTTGTAAAGGAAGTTAAAATAACTTTAAGTTTCAGTTCATGTATTCTGCTGCAGTATGTGGAAAACATTGAAATATCGATGATAAAAATTGTAGTTTCAAAACATGAAATGCAAGTGTAATAGTGCCCTGATACCCACACACAAGACACAAACACACACAAGTTTTGGTTTTTTTTTAAATGAGAATCTGATTCTCAGGAGACTTCCTTGCTCAAATAAACATACAATAAACAACAATTTAATGTTTTTCATTACCAAAATAAAAAGGAAAGTGCTTGAATGACAGACGGGGCCCCCATGCACTTCATTGTTTTTAAATCTTTTTATATTTACCCTGCGTTAACACACCTGATTAATAATTACAAATTCACTGAATAATCAGTAGTTAATAATTCAATAATAGTAGTAAATAATTTAAACACAAGGCATTTTTTTAGATATTACTAACCTAAATATGTACAAAATCATCATTCATAGGGTACTTTCTGTTGGGAGGTAGCTGTCCCAAACCCTAACACCTAAATTTCAACTTCAATAATACTTCCATTTTTGATTTCTTTTAAAGATTTTTAGTCCATAGGCAGAGCTTTATTTTAGCCACACCCCTGTACTTTAGAGCAGGAAGTGAGACTGCATCCCATGGTGAGCAGTTAGATCCCAAAGTCTGGAAATCAGTGTGTAACATTTAGAACTGTCAGTACTGAAAACATGTTCTGCAATTAATCTGTGATTTTTTGTGTTTTATTAAAAATATTATGAAGACGTGTGTGTAACTGTTGAGTTAAGATCAATGTTAGCTAAAATGGTCACTGCCAAAAAAGTCACTACTGAAACATTCGGTTACGTTTTGGTAGTGCTATCATTGTATTGGCAGTGACAAAATGGAATATTCAGTCAAAACAAGTCAAATGTGTTTTGAAGAGTCTATAGATTGATCTCTATATGAGCTCATACACATGTCCTGTCACACGCGCCTTGGTCTCACCACTGTCTCTGGAAATTAGGAGATATCTTCTCCATTCACACCTCACAGGTCTGCCCCCATACACATTTCACAGTTATTTGAGCCCCCTTGGATGAACTATATTGATCTGATTTATTTTTTTGTGAGGTCACAGGGTCCAAATAGTCAGAAAAAATGGTATTGATTGACAGCAAAGAAAAGAAAATCTCCTGCGTGTATGAGTGTGTGATCTTCAAGGACAAACTGCAGTTTCATAGCGTGAAACCATTCTCCAACATGTTACTGTATGTGTGTGTGATATTGGTCCATAAATGACCTCGATCAACTCCTATATGCTAGAATAGTCAATATTAATCCATGAACAATCAATAGGAGATATTGGTCAATAAATTACCGCAGTAAACACTTGTTTTCACTAGAATAAGAGATATTAGCCCAAAAACAACCTCAATAAAAGTGGATGTTCACTAGAATAGGAGATATTAGTTTATAAGCAACCTCAAGGAACGCTCCTGTACCACATGAATGGAGTGCTCTTGTACGCTAGAACAGGAGCTATTAGTACATAAATAACCTCAATATTTTTCCATACAGAGCCTCAGTAAACACTCATATACACTAGGAGATAGTAGTCCATAAACAATCTTAATAAGTAATCATACACACTAGAACAGGAGATATCCAAGTCCATTAATGACCTCAACACACTCTTAATCACTAGAATAGGATACAGTAGCATGTAAACAACATCAATAAATGCACTATACACTAGAATAGGAGATATTAGTCCATAAACAACCTCAGTAAACACTTCTATACACTAAAATAGGAGATATTATTTCATAAATGACCCCAATAAACACTAGAGAACAGGAGATATTAGTTGATAATTTACCTCATCAGGCCTACATGTAGCCTTTGTGAAATAATGCAATTAGCCAGTTTTAATTTTGTTCTAACCACTTTAGGAACGTTCTGTTGGGAACCAATTTGTTTTTTATTCATTTCTGATCTCTGGTATATTGTATGTGTGGCAGAATTTCATTTGGAGCCCAGAAGCTTTTCCTGAGGCCTAGTTTGTTTATTGTTTGCTTACAGCTTGCCATAGGCAGGATGAATTATTCATAATTTTAGCAAGCGATTTTAGCTCGACCGATTGGCATCTCGTCAGCTGTCATCAGCCACTTGGCACTATGTGTGTGTTTGATAAAAAACATGAATGGTCTGTGGTCATGGGGAAATTTGGCTGCTCTCCACATGCTGGTCCCCCCCAAACTGCCCCTTTTATTAGAAAAAATATAATAGAAAAAAAGCTTTAATAGAAAAAAAAAAAAATAAAGCCAAGGTTAGAGCTGGGTTAGGTGTGTGTGTGTGTGTGTGTGTGTGTATACTTTGTATCAAAGTAAAAATACATATTAGTATTATTATTAATATTATTCAGATATTCAGTTTAATAAAAGAATGATAAGCATGCAAGTGAAGGGGTTAACAGAGAGAGGGATGGAGGAGGAAAAACGTTAGACAGAGTTTCCCCTCTCAGTGGACAGAGCATGTTGCTAAGAGACGAGATGTCAAGAAGTTGAACTGTCAGACATGGATGGATGAAGAGTGAGGAGGATGAGGCAGATAGATAGATAGGTAGATAGGTAGATAGATAGATAGATAGATAGATAGATAGATAGATAGATAAATAGATAGATAGATAGAGATAGATAGATAGATAGATAGACTGGAACATATAATAAAATAGAAGTCATTGGAAAATATAATAAAATAGAAGTTAATAAGAAAACAAATTTAAGTGTGTGTTAAGTATTAAATATAAAATAAAAATATTGAAAATTAAATATTTTATATGATACTACTACTACTATTACTACTACTACTACTACTATTAATAATAATAATAATAATAAGATGGAATAAAGATGGTATAAAGGCTTAAAATTGTGTTTTTACATGTAGTCTCAAAGACTTGTGTGTATTAGGTGGGTGCAGTGAGCATGCGCTGTTAGAAATGACCACTGAGTCAGAACAGATATGTCTGAAAATCAATCACATGCCTACACACACACACACGCACACACACAAACATACACACACACACACACTGTGTCTGTAGCTCTGCCAGCATTAACTGGCGGGCTATGGTGAAGTGCACCATCTGTATCAACCAACCACAGTCTATGTGTGTGTGTGTGTGTGTGTGTGTGTGTAATATAATGTGTGTGAGCAGAAAAAATAGAATAGAATAGAACCGAACAATACAGAGCAGAACAGAATAGAATAGAATGCTACTCTTCTGTCCGTGCAGTTTCAGAGTTTGTTAGTAAACTGAAATCAGGGTTTAAACACAGATCAACATTTTTTGTTTTGTTTTACTAACAACACTTACAAACAACTGAGTAAAACAACATTTATCTGAATACAGTGTTATAACACAGGATATCAAATAAAAGTCATCATGAAGAGAATAAAAAGCAATTACACACCTCACACACTGGATAATTACTGGGTGCTCTGACATGAGCAACCAAGTAAACCAGACAGGCTGTGTAAACCAGTGTGTGTGTTTGTGTGTGAGTGAGTTTGGACTTGGTTGGTTGTCGGTGGGTGAGGACACTGATACAATGGGACTGTAACCATGACAACAGTGTTTGTGGAATGGCAGCAGTCTGACCCCCACTATGCTTCTCCTCACACCTCCATCTCTCTCTCTCTCTCTCTCTCTCTCTCTCTCTCTCCCCCTCTCTCTCTCTCCATACACCCAATGGGCTACAGCAGCATACAACAACCCTCACTAAAAATCTCTTACTGCAACTGGAAATGTACATTCATATCTTTCACATTTTCATATTCCACACTGTTTTTACAAAATATACAGTATAAAACCTCAATATCTTCACTATTATTGAATGCACATTGAGTGATTGTTTACAGTTATAAACTGTAATAACTGCTGTGTAGGCTTTGGTGATCATCAGTGGATTGTCCAGATCAGACATATCTGCAGTTAGGTGTTGTAGATCTGCTGTTTGATGACATTCAGTAATCTGAGTCGGTTACGATGGGTGTAATACTCGGCTCTCCCCACTAGAGAGAGCTGTTGTAGGGCAAGGCCTAGATTTCCTGTCTTGTGTGTGGGTGCATTCATGATGTGATGATGGACTGTTCTTTATGATCTGTGCAGTAAGAGAATGTAGCTCTGAGCTGTGAGCGCTGCAGCAGTTTAGGATTGCAGAAGTTTCCAAAGTAGAGTGTAAACTTTGTTGGCTGTGCTGGTGCAGTGACTCAGCAGCTGTGGGAGTTCAGTATCGATCTAACTGCTCAAAATCTGTCCCCAAATTCATTCAATACCTCTCTCTCTCTCCCTCGCACTCTCTCTCTCACTGTCGCTCTCTAATAATAGTAAATTTGAGTTCACACACCGAATTTGGGAAATATTAAAGAATAATAAAATGAATTGGAATGTTTTAGAGTTGGTATAAAATCTGTCTTTCTCTCGTTCCTGTTCTCAGCACTCTAGAGACAACCTTTGACACCACCGTGACCACAGAGGTAAATGGGCGCGGCCTCCCCTCCCTCTCCAGTCGCTCATCGCCTATGGCCTGGCGGCTCGGCCAATCACAGAGCCCTCGTCTGCAGGCGGGCGATGCCCCCTCCATGCCTGGTTATGCCCCACCCAGGTCTGGCGCCACCGGGGCGACTGGTCGCTATGGTGATGCCTCACGGTTCGTCTACTCGGCACCACTGAGGAGGGCGGCGACATCAGGGGGCAGAGGGGCGGAGCCAGGGGAGAAGGGCATGCCCTCAGAGGTGGGACCAGAGGGGGATGTAGGTGGATACATGAGTGACGGCGACATACTGGCCAAGAATGTACGGGCTGATGATGTCACCAGTGGGTAAGATATGTTTATTAATAATAGTTTTTGTTTATAGGGACATATGACCTTAACAACAATAAAAATAGCAAAAAAAAATATATATATATATATATATGTGCCACAGCGTCTATTGCTCTAAAATGGGTATACATCTTTGGTGCCTTCAAAGCTGTGCAAGTTACCAATGCCATGGGCGCAAACACACCCCATGCTATGTCAGATGCTGGCGTTTGATCTTTACACTAGTAACAATCTGGATGCTACTTTTCTTCTTTAGTTCAGAAAACATGACAGCCGTTATTTACATAATCTGAAAGTTTGAACTGACAAATCCACCGTGAGAGAAGCCCTCAGAAGTCGGCATCGTTTCTGGATGTTGTTGACATATGGCTTCCACTCTATATAGTACAGTCTTAACTTGCATTTGTGGATGCAGTGACGGACACTGTTTATTGACAACTATTTGTTAACCCTTTAATGGCTATGGTCCACTGCTGGGTCCAAAGACTTACTACATGCTTTCATAACCTTAAGAAAAACGTAGCTAGTTTGCACTGTAGTTCATATAGTTACTGAATAATAAGCCATAGTATTAATAAGCCTGTGAGTATTTCACAGCATTCGTAGTCTCAAAATGCTCCTGTCCACATGTTGCAGGCAGGTACAGGTCAAAGTGGATTTAAAAATGACTGATTTCCGTACTGTGTTGTTTAGTCAATCTGTCATTTTAAACTGATACATATTTATTCTCAGGTTTCCAGTGCAAAATCAAATAACCTAAAAAATAACTCCAGCATCTTAAATGTTCCTTTTGTGATAGTCATTTGATTTTCTCATAAATAGTGGAAGAATGACTCGATAGTGCTTTGTCATTCCTGACGGTGAGTGATGGCGTGTCCGTAGTTACACTTTCGAGTCTCCATAGAAACCAGATTCTGGCTGATGCGACAGCAGCAAACGGCAGGCTCGGATATGATGATTGATGTGCAAAGTCACGAGAAAATAACTCTAAAGAAAGTGCTTCCTGCCCCCAGCATGGCTACACGCACATCTCTCAACGGTGGAATAGCTGAGGGTCAGATATACATCACTGTGTTCTGCCTTATTACTCTTGACCTTCCTGCCTCAGTGCTGATGAACAGTCTATACGTGACAAATAGCAGTGCAGCTGTGATGAAGCAGCATCATTGGCTCTGTCTCTCATAGTGATTAAATCAATTATGGTGCTAATTAGCAAGCCGCTAATGTATGTTGTGCTGTCATATTTATAGCAGGTCTATGGCTTAAAGCCCCCCCAACACACACACACACACACACACACACACACACACCTACACACACACACACACACACACACACACACACAAGTATGTAACAAAAACATATTTCTGATTTGGAAAATTAAATTTATATATTTATATATTTTTAATTTGGAAAAAACATATGGAAAAGAAACAAATGTAAATGTAAAATTGAAGGTCATGTGCTAGTTCCTAGAACAGCAGCTTGCTAGCATAGTAGTTAACTGTGGTAATAGCACCCATACAGAAATATGATTTATGGCAATGTAGGATTTTAAAAAGTGACATATTTTAGCAAATATATATCTTATATAATGTATGTTTGATACATATAAACATGTATGTGTCATGTATGTGAACGTATTTGAAATTGGCCATTTTCAAATATGGGACATGTATTTCTGCCATATATCAACATATACAAGCATATATCGCTATATATTGTTGCATACAGTGTTGTATATATTTAACAATATATGATAGAAAACATTATTCATATATGGTATCTAATAGAATGGTTTTATGCATTTTCTTTATTTCTTCCACATACGTCCTAATGAAGTGAAATTTAGTATAACAGCTACATAACTAAACTCCACAGATACGCACTTTGTAAGCTATACAGTAAAATTAGTTAAACATTAAATAATTGAAATATTGTATTTAAAAGCAAATAGATAGCATAGTGACAACTATAAATGTGCTGGAATGTATTTAAACATATATGTCCAGTATTTGAGACTTACATATGCACACAACGTAAACGTACATATAATTTGAAACATGTGCCTGACCCTTTATGATGTATGTTCTGTGTACGATCATATATCAGACAATTGTGTGTAATATTTCAAATTTAAGAATGTTTTTTTCTCTCTGATTACTGTAATTTAGAACAAAGTAGACTAGTCGGTGATTAGCCGCACTATAGCAATGTCTCTGGGACCTAATAGTTCGTCGATGGCCCCCAACTTGTGAGCAGCCTTCCCACACACACATACCCCACCAAAATGAAACTCTAGCTAACCCACAGGTAGATATAAAGTACTTAGCAAGGCAGAGGCCACTCTTTCTTTTATTTAATGTCATAAGTCAAAACGGCCATTTAGTTTAAGTTAGTGTGTCCACCCTTTGCCTTTGCCAGCTTCCACTCTTTTCAGGATACTGACTTCAGTTTTTTGAAGGAATCTGCAGGGATATTTTTCACACCTCCAAAATTCAGTCTTGAAAGGTATATTTTTAGCTTTTTACAATCCAAGTAATCCCAAACACATTTAGTGATGTTGAGCTCTGGACTCTGGGGTGGTCAGTCCATTGTTCTGAGAACACCAGCAGCTTCTTTATTTGATTTTCAAATTTTCAGGAATGTTTTTATAACAGCCACACATCCTTTCAGACTCATAGCATCATAGTCTTCTCACAGTGGAAGGATGGGCAGAAGCGTCTGTAGATTTTTGCAGATCTGAAGCGAAAGTACACACACACACACACACACACACACACACACATACATCATCTAAACCGCTTATCCTTCTGGGTCGCGGTGGGGTGCTGGAGCCTATCCCAGCTGTCATTAGGCGTAAGGCAGGATACACCCTGGACAGGTCGCCAGTCCATCGCAGGTGAAGCAAAAGTAGAGCTTGATTTTTTCAAGTCTCTCAAAAATGAAAGCTTTAAGTGCTGTTTATCTTATGGTGGTAGTGTTGGTGGTCCAGGTCTTGCATGGTTGTTAGGAATTTCATTTTCTCTAGATTTTTTAATACATTTTTAAAACTCCTGTTTTGGAAACTCATCTTTTTCTTTTATTTTCCTTTGACTTTCTCCTTCCTTATGCAAGTGGATTATTTTATATCTGATCCTCAAAAATATCTCATTAAAAATGACTAATTTGTACTTAATAACCGTTTAAAATGGAAATCAAATCAATGAAAGGTGACCTCTGACATTTGCACAGTACTATACTTAGATAACACACTCTCACACACACTCCAATATTCAGATTTATTATTATCTACCTATCTATGTGTGCAGGTATCTGACAGATGGGGGTATTCACCTGTACTCCCGCAGTGTGAGCCGCCCTGAGCTGCCGTCCACTCGAGAGGTCATCCACAGAGGGGTTAGAGAGCAGGGGGATGCTGACAGGTAACACGAACACACTCACACACATGCACACACACAAATCTCTAAATCTCTAAAGGTGGAAATCACAGGGTAATGCACTCCTGATAACAATAACAAAAATAACAATCAGTATTGATGCAATTCAGTGGTGAATGATATATATGTATTTATCAATGGTGCCATATGAAAACCTCATAAGGCCATTTTAAGATGCCAGCTGCCCTTTGTGACCATTTAATGACCAACATAGATGCTCCAAGTACTTGGAATAATATTTAATTTTACTAACAGTACACTCTATTTAAAGAAATGTTACATTTTTTACTGTTTTGGAGATATGACAACATTAATGCATTTTGCTAGTTTGATCTTTCAACCCATCTGTATTAGTGCAGGCTGAAGCCCAGCTGCAGTGCGCTGTGTGTTGCTATGTAAGAATCTGCCCTCTCATTCAAATTCAACTAGGCTTGCTAAATGGCTTTTAAAGCAACATGTTCTGTACCTTCGTTAGACTATGCTGGATCTGGATAGTGGGCAAAGACTTTTGCTGCCTCTCTAATTCACTTTTTCTTGTGATCTGCCATCTTTACTGTGAGTTGATTTTCTTTAATACAAGTTTGCTGACTTGTTCACCCTACAGTCATCACAGATTCATAAGTACCTCCTACGGGAGTTAAATCTAAATGCTGATTTATGTAGTGCGGTGAAATCCATTTTGAGAGCTTCTGCATTTAATAAAAACTTCAGTACTTGGCAAAAGCACAGAAATAACATCTCACAAGAGGAACTTTGCAAGACATTGCCATATCAATTTTCCTTCCCACCTCTGGTAACCTCACTGCATGTGTACCTGAAGCTCTACAACAACTGATTATCAGTCTCATAACGAGATTTGATTGTTTTCTTTGGAGTAGAAACTGTGGAATGCCGAGTGCTCAAGGTGGTTTCGGGTGGTTTCAGCTGTGAAATGATGTTCAGAACAGTAGTAATGATTTTGTATAGATCCAATTCAGTCTTATTGAGCTGTGTGTCAGACCATTTAGAAACCTGGTGCTGATGTTAGGATGAGAAAAATCATTTAGGAAAGTGAGATGAATGTGCAGCACCTTCTGTAATGGCTTTGGGATTGGGAAGCTATTACTTTGCTGGCCAACCTTGCCGCTTCATTTGATAGTAAAGTCCATAAATTTAGAAAGGAAACTTTTAAAGCAATAGCTTGGCGAAAACTCCGGTTTCCTCATTTTACCCTAAATGTAGGTGATCAGCCAGTGTAAAACTAAAGAAGCAAACTTCAGATACCAAACATGTCTTGGCTGATCAACTATATTTGGGATAAAGAGGAAATTTTTGCATTTGATTATTTACCAAACTATTTTTTTTATTAAGTAAGTTGTGGTGGGCAACATTTAAGCCTTTTCTGTTAATCTCCAAGTTCTACTCTCACTTCTCTCTCAGTAATGAAATACTCCAGTTCAGAATGATTTTGGGTTTTTTGAGGAAGGAAGAGAGCAGAGATGGATCGAGAGACAATGTCAGTAACAGATGAACGCAAGTCTATCAAACACATCAAAGCCTCACTGTCAGATGTTAGGAGAATGAAAGCTTTACAGACAGAACAGAATGTATTTCCTGTCCACATTGACATGAACTCAATCTCACTGATTAATGACTCTTCTGAATGTGATGTGGACGATTCACCTGTTTGCTCAATATGAATTACACTCACTGGCCATTTTCAAAAACCTCTACCTTGTACTTCTACTCAATGGCCACTTTATTAGAAACACCTACATTGTACTTCCACTCATTGGCCACTTTATTAAAAACCCCTACCTTGTTCTTCCACTCACTGGCCACTATTATTCTCAAACAGTTAGAGGATGCCTTTTCTTTGTTATCTAACAGGCGGTGTTTTTCGCACCATCACTCTATGTGCTGAGTCAATCTGAATAGCACTGAACTCTCCTTCATGTTCATTACTGAATGCTGGTGTAGTGGACGCAACCCAGGATATCTGTGTGGGCTCTCTCTCTCTCTCTCTCTCTCTCTCTCTCTCTCATTCTTCCTCTATTGTTCTATCTCTGTCTTCCTTTCTGTCTCTTTTCCTCAGTCTTTCTCTCTCTGTTTCGTTCTTTTTCTCTCTCCTGTTCTCCAGTTCCCTCTTGTTTTTCCTCTCTCTCTCTCTCTCTCTCTCTCTCTCTCTAATAGAGAAGATAATCATGCTCTTTTTTCTTTTCGTTCACTGTATTTTGAGGGTGGAGGGAGTTGGTTGTGTTGAAGGCTCTACAGGGACTCATTACAGCAAGACAACGACTCCTCCTCCTACACACACACACACACACACACACAGAGAGAGAGACACTCGTACACTTTTTTAAACACTTTCCCACTAGCTAACTTACAACACACACTTTTTACCTTTTTACCTCAATCAATACATATCAGCTAAACACATCAATTACAAACACACACATAACAATAACCCTAACTGAAGCCATGCAGAGCCTTTCAAAGGGCCTTCCCCAAACTATTGCCATAAAGTTGGAAGCATTTACTTGTCTAAAATGTCTGTAGCATTAACATTACCCTTCACTGAAACTAAGGGACCAAGCCCAAACTCTGAAAAACAACACCGTTATCCCTCCTCCACCAAACTTTACTGTTGGCAGTGTTCAGTAATTAGCGTTTGCCTCATCCGCCAAACCCAGATTCGTCCATTACGCTGCTATGAAGCGTACTTTTTTACTTCAAAGAACGTGGCTGCAGAGTCCAGTGACTTTACACCACTCCAGCCGACACCTGGCATTGTGCATAGTGGTCTTAGGTGTGCGTGGAGCTGCTTAGTCATGGAAACCCATTTCATGATGCACAGTTCTTATGCTGAGTTTGTAGTTTGGAGTGAGCGGTGCAACAGACGATAGGTGATTTTTATGTACTTCCACACTCAGTGGCCCCGCTCTGTGAGTTTGCGTGGTCTACCTCTTTGTGGCTGATCTGTTGTTGCTCCTAGATGCTTTCATTTTTCAATAAAAGCACTTAAGGTTGACCAGGGCAGATCTAGCTAGATATATAAAACTAGATAGTTAATAGGAGTTCTTCAGTATGACGCATTCTACTGTCATTGTTTGTCTATGGAGACCGCATTGCTATGTGTTTGGTTTTAGATACCAGCTGGAAAGGGTGTAGCTGAAATACCTAGTAATTCAGTCAGTAATTAGGAGGGGTCTCCACATACTTTTGGCCATATAGTGTATATTGTAATCAAGTTCAAACTGTTTTAACCATCCCAGCCCTAATGTATATTGTACATTGTACACTCTAGGGTCAATACCACCTTTGGCTAGTGTATTTTTTGTTGTTTTGTTGTATTTATCTTTACATAAGTTTCCAGAAAATATAATTATTGTAATAAGTTTAAGATGAAGCTGTTGAACCACTATAGCCATTATGTTTACAGCATTAAAACTGGCCTGAAACATACAGTGGTTCTAGATTTTAGAGTCGTAAATGCAATCAGTTGACTTCACAAACATCGCAGTCTTACTGATGTCACACCAAAGTCAGGTCATTATAACCAGCCTAACTGAATTTATCTCTCAGTGCAGTGTGTGCTGTGTTTGTGTGTTGTCGGTTTGGTGCTGTAAGAATGCGCTGTGTGTGTGTTTGTGTGTGTATGGATACCATCTGTGTGTAACACCTCAAAGGGTCAGGCTGCTGAGAATTGGGCGGTTAAACAAAGCTCTCTCTCTTTCTGTCCCACTGTGATGGTCAGCATGCACAGAAACACACCGTCTGCAGAAGAACGAGATAAATTCAATCTGCCTGAGGCCTTTAGATCACTGCAGGTCTAAAGACTCGGCCATTCACAGTCTGGTAATGCAGAAAAGGAGTGAAAATAATGGACAAGGACTTTGAAGTCTACACTGATATAATAATGTTGTAGTTTTATAAGGGTTATTATTCCATTATTAATCTTTGGGCTTATTGTCCAGTAACTACTATTAATTATTCAGTAATTTCTCTGAATCATTTAGTATCTACTATGAATTGTTCAGTAATACTATGAATTGTTTAGTCACTACTGTAAATTATTCAGCAACTACTTTAAATTATTCAGTATCTGTTAAGAATTAGAAATTTGTTAATCAGTTTGGGTGGGTAGCGCTGTCTCCTCACAGCAAGAAGGCCCTGGGTTCAATTCCCCGGCTGGGCGACCAGGGTCCTTTCTGTGTAGAGTTTGCATGTTCTTCGTGTCTGCGTGGGTTTCCTCTGGGGGCTCTGATTTCCTCCTACAGTCCAAAGACATGCAGTTGCATGCAGGTGAATTTGAGATACTAAATTGCCCCAACGTATGAGTGTGTGTTTGTGTGAGTGGGTATGTCTGTGTCTCTGCCCTACGATGGACTGGCGACCTGTCCATGGTGTTTCCTGCCTTCCGCCCAGTGACTGCTGGGATAAGCTCCAGCACCCCCTGCAACCCAGAAGGATAAGCAGCTTAGAAGATGAATGAATTTGTTGAAATCAACAAATCAACACCTGTGAAAGCCAGGGGGGATCTGCAGGGGAATCTGAAAAAAATCAGCAGCCAAGAGACAATAAGTCCAGCTGTCTATCAAAAGCTTTTGTCTATAAATACTCCATCATACAACATAGATGAGTTCCTCGCTGGAACTGATGACGGGGTCCTAGAGACGGGGGCCGAACAACGGAGACATACACATGAATAAATAACATCTCTCATTTAGAGAGAGAGAGAGAGAGAGAGAGAGAGAGAGAGAGAGAGAGAGGGAGGGCAGAGAGAAGGGCAGAGAGAAGGGCAAGAAAAAAGGTAGTACAGAAGACAGAAAAAGAGTAAGAGAGAGAGAGAGAGAGAGAGAGGTTCCTAATGACAGCTTAATCTGCACTTTTCTGTTTTGAGAGTTTCCTGGAATGGTTGCTGTGTGTGTGTGTGTGTGTGTGTGTGTGTGTGTGTGTGTGTGTGTGTGTGTGTGTGAGATTTGGTTGGTGTCCTTACACAGACA